GCAGTTAGACCACGAAGCAACAGTGTGTAAGAGCACACACTTCTCTCAATTCTTCCAGATCATGCAGATGATTGCCATTGAATGCACGCAGAGTGCTGTTCTGCCACCTATTGTGATCTTTGAGCAGGAGGATGCGGAGAAGAAGAAGCTGAACAAGCACTTGATGGAGCGCAAGGAGGCTGCGGACCGTGGAGAATGATGCAACCAGTCACGTGTATGGGTATGTGCTAGTGAGTGATTTTCGGTGTTTTGTTTCTGGATTGAGCTGCTGACGGTTCCTCTCGGCGTGCGTGTCTGTGTCCAGTCCGCTATATTCCCCTCAGACTCGCAATTAGACAAGCGGCGGAGCGGTGGAGTCACGTGTTCACCACTGTGCTCCATCCACTCGACCTCTCATCTCCTCTATCGGTCTCAATCGTTACTACATTAGTTTTTAGCCCCCCCTTTTTCTTCACTCGCAGTTAGACAAGCGGGGATGCGATGGAGTCATGTGCTCGCCTGTGCGCTCGAAGTCGAGCTGTCTGTGGAACGGTTGAATACAAACAAGGCGGGGAACTCTGCAGACTGCATAGCGCTGAAAGCACGCTGTACATTGAACACGCTGGACAGCAAGCGAGACGTCTCATTGATTAAACAAAGTATGCACAGCCTTGGACAAGGCGGGGCAGCAGCCAATGATCTTGTGAAACGTCATACCCCGTGATATCCAAGCATGCCTCACCCATTCTCTGGGTAGCAAAAGGCAACAGCAAGGGGGAAAGCAGCCAAGCTACATAGAAAGCAGAAGCACTGTTGAAGTTATGAGCCAGCTCAAATTTGCGGATGATCAATTGCGGGATTAGATGACGGCTGGGTTTCCTCGATTCAAAGCACTAACCTCTCAAATCTAGTCAGCATGAAGGTCCATTGACGGTCCTGTTCAAAGTGGGTAGCAAATCACTCTACGTACTTGCCATATTCGCTATTCAGGGCTCTTAGGTGACCACGCACCCCCAAACCGCGTTGTATGGCACCGGTCCCTTCGGCGGCGGATATTCACTAGTATAACTCCTTGTCCGTTGAGGGAGACCCTCCACTGTGTTAGCACATGTTGTAGCAAATCCGTGAAGAATACCTGAGATTGGGAAGGTCAAGACCGCATGCATAGATCTACAATATACACGATTCAAGCTGTCTTCAGTCTTGATGGACATGAACTAGTACAATCAATGTCTCCAGCAAATTCCAGTCGCTCCAGTTGCTCCATCTAGGCTACTTCCTACGGAACTCGCCACTGCACCAAGCATCCATCGGTTGACAAGGACCAGATGAAGGTAATTATCGTCTATCGAGATCATTCGCCCATTCTCGATTATGCCGAGAGGCAAGCCCGACAGCCAGGTTAGGGCATCCAGGATAGGCCACAGGTGTCCAAGACGACAGCGCGCAAAAAATGCGGCGAGAGCGCAGATAACGAGGGATGGGAATACAGTCGAGTATATCGCCCAGCGGGTCGGCCCCTCACTGTCATCGAACCATGTACGCGCCTCCAGTTGTTGCAAAATGGAGAGAGTGAGGATAAGGAGAGACATTCCCAGAGAGAGTGCGATGGATGTGTAGATCACCCAGGTCGCTGTGGGCACCGTCGGTCCGAAACCGAGAGTATTCCGAGTTTGCTCCTGGAAGATGGCGCCAAGGATAGCAGCCAAGAGACCAAAACCGTTCAGAAATAGACCTGGAGTCAGACCTTGTGGAGCACGGGGCGAAGAACGATCAAACGTGGCGACAACCATGAGTTCTTTGGACCCCGCGTCTGGAACCAACATCTTCATCCCCGGCTCTGATGTCCTCGGTGTGCGTCCGAAGAACATGGTATGCCAGTCGGTGAGCCTGCCTGAGTAGAGGGAGTTGGCGAGAGTCACACTCGTCCATACGCCAGCGGACGTGCCAACGCTGAGGAAGTAACAGATAATCATCTGTCCGCAGAGCCCCGCAAAGAGGAAGGCGTACGTCGGCCAACGGGACGCGCCGCCGCTGAAGACGAGGTCGAAGAACTTGGGTGTATTCGCATAGGGTTCAATGGCTTCGAGCACAGCCTGGACGCGATCAAGGTAAGCCTCGCCCGCAGAGGTATCTTTGATGGCCCAGGAACCGGAACCGGGAAGATTCTGGAAGGTCACGCGGCCCTTATCGAGCAATTCGCCGCCTAGAATGGCGATCCACAGTGATTGTCCAACATTGACTGTGGCAAGCTGACCAGAGTCGAGCGCATCGAAAGCTATGGCCTGTTGCTTGATGTGCTGCACAACTCGGTAATACGCGCGCGCAAGCTCGTTCAGGGAGGCGGAAACTTTAGCGGATGTCGAGGAGTAAGAGTGGAAGTCGATGGCACAAATGGGCCCGTCGAGGTTTACCCCAACTAGATTGAGCTTCCATGGTCCTTCGTCGGTCGAGCCCTCGTTCTTCGCGCAATCTCGCAATAGAGTCTGGGAATAGGGTCGGCGAACCATGTGTGCAGCAACCACGGCCAGCGCCTTGTCCTCGCTATCGACGTCGATGACGGAGCTGTGTGGCATCCACAGCGTGGAAAACTGGGGCTCATCACCCTGATACACGTTCACCGTCCAGTCTCTGAAAATGTGATAATCCGCGGCGGCGAAGAGTAAGAAGTCTCGCGCAGAGGGGGGGTCTGGAAGACTGGGTTTGATGCTTAGGGAGCTTGGGGTTACGGGGTCCAAATTGCGGGGATTATGAGACCCTCGGACGTCAATCTCCATAAACTCTTGTCCGGGGGCGTTGCGAGGTGTTTGTATGTGACAGGGTGAAGAACGGAGTTGGTCTTTTTCAAGGCCTCAGCGCGAGCGACCGCTGTGATTTCGTTGGAACGTATCCAAAAAGTTCGACTTTCCGTGCGTTGAACGAATGTCGGATAGGAAGTGACAGGCGTTGCTAACCCATTTGACGCGACGCATAGCTTTCAGGGAGAATATGGGGAGCCCCCCTCCCGAGGAAGATGCCGATGGAGGGGTCTAGTACCCAAAGACTGTCGGACTCGGTCCCAAGACCCGCATAAAGAATGCTTGCAAGAAGAAGCAGACCGCTGGGCCAAGAGATGATATCGTTCGCTGGCGCTTGAGCGAGAACAGGACGCAGGAACAGGGCGAACAAAATGATACGAATAGTTGCGGTGAAAGTGAAGCCCCGGAGATCCAGAATGCGGCGGGTCAGAGAGGGCTAGAATGAATGGCGGGTGAGATGCAGGTCGTGAGCACACGAGATCGAGTAACGTACGGAACCGTCAGGGGCCTTTTTGGCTACTATGGACGCGCTAGCTTGAGGGCTGGGATTCCGCCGCCGCGAAGGTGGGTCAGATACCGTGCATGGTCTGAGCTCGAGGGCCGATGAAGCCGGAAACGCGGACTACATATGCACGCAGCGTGAGTCCACACGTAGGTTCCAAGTCAGCTCTACATACATCAAAGCATTGGGAGCGGTTCTGCTTGTCCGTGCTAGGTTGCTCACCAACATCCAAGTCAATCCAATTGGAGGAGAGCTGCGGGATTAAGTCAGAGAGAGGTGGAGACAGGCTGGAGCTTCGACTAAAAGTGAGTAGATACCTACAGGTTGGGCCATGTCTAGGTGCTTCCGCTGTCCAAGGACCACAGTAAGGAGAAAGTTCAAGGTACCCAACGCTCGTAATTCGTGCTCCTGATCGCTGGCGCCCTAGACCTTGAGCTGATGCGTGCGTTGGTATGCACTGCAACGTAGCGTGTGAGAACGCGCAAAGAACCAGTGGAGAGACGTACCGTGGAAGGGGAACGATATCGAAGAAGAAATTGGTTCCAGCGTCGAGGCAAAGTCAGAGAGTCGCTGATGGTGAGCCTGATCGATTCGGGCTTCTCCGGCGGGACAATATCGCAAACCATGCCCTGAGGTAGTCTGGGAATCGTCTCAATGAACCTCCAGGCTTCTATATTTGAAATTAACAGGATCAAATTGCGAGGCGTACTGTAAAGGAAGTATCGGAGAGTGCCGCGTACGTGCTGCTCACATGACTATGTGACAGTGACCAGCGACGTGATCCAATCCACATCCCTTGTCAGCTAAAGCTCGTGCATGAATGAGCGTTGATTTGCTACTCCCAGTGGGGGCAATACAAAGGGTGTCTACTTTCTTGTCCCAGCTGTTGGATAGACGAGGCTGCCACTCAGGGTAATTTTTGTAGCCAAGCAAATTTTGAATAATTGTGGCTGTCATCCATTTAAGAGGTGTCTGAGGACCAAACACACATGGTAAGAAGTCCCAATTATTGACCAGGGTGTCTGCCGGAGTATCCTGCACATCCAGTTGGATTTCGCAGGCAAGACTAAATGGGCCAATATCAATTATATAATATTCACGTCACGTGCTCCATCCGCTTTGGGCGATGCTCGCGTTGTTTTAATTTCCCATCGATTTCTCACGGTAAAGACTATAGGCTTATTGATAGGTCAATCCCAGACACTTCTCAGACTCGCTTGCACTGGCAAGTGAGCCTGGAGCCCGTGACTAGCTCTCTGAGGTCCTCAATCTCCCTTGTGTTCCCAGACACATCCACAATCCCCATTGTGTCCTCACACATGCCCACCCTCGCCCCCATGTTTCAGCACATGTCCTTGGCGTTAATTGTGCATCCAGCAGTTCCCATTGGGGAGCAAAGTTTTTTTGCTTTCCTTGTTCCTTTTGCTTTACAAGTTTAAGACACTTACATGTGATTTTTTGTACTTGCCCAAGTGGGGTGTGGATTGGGGTCCAGTTGGCAGCCTCTCACTCCACTACTTTGGTTCCGTAGCTTTTGGCATGGTTTTTACCCAGGCTAATACACCTCATAGTGATACCATGCAGAGCATGAAACTCATCAAGGGACTTTGAGACATCACATTGGATGCAAGTTTGCACAGAATCCACGGCTGAGGCGTGAGTCGCGGCAACACCACGTGATTATCAGAAGCGAAAATAAACAAAAATAGAGCTGAAAAATACTTCCTGCCTGGGAATCGAAACCCAGCCCTCTCCCGCACTTGCTGAATCAGCTGACAGGGGAGTGTTCTACCGATATACTAGCAAGAACCTATTCTTCCTTTCTGACCAATTTGTCAACACCTATAGTTGAACCATGGGCATCCTACTATTTCACTCATTAGCTGATAAAGAGTAATGTGATTCAGAATTAACGTCCTATAGGATTTGTGCCTGCCTAGCTTAAGTACGCTAACCGCGATACGATGAGCTGCACTCCTAAAGATCACGTGAATCTTCAGGCCCCACCGCCAGCTCTTGACTTTTAGCCCCCGAATGTCAAACCGGCGATCTGGGTCTCGGCTCGCCGAGAACTCGGCGGCGGATAGCGGATGGGGATATGGGTTATCCCCGTGAGAGCCCCGCGCAGCGGATGGGGTGCGGGTGTCCCGCGTCAGCCCCGCGCAGCGGACGGGGTGCGGGGTGTCCCCGCGATAGCCCCGCGCAGCGGACGGGGTCTGCGGGGTGTCCCCGCAATATGTACCTGACTTATATACATAAAAAAGTGTAGATAGATGTACCTGGTCTGTAGTGTAGCGGGTAGGGGTGTTTACCTAGCTAGTATCTTTTAGCATGACACTGGTTCAAACCCCGGTCAAAGTCTGAGTTCCGTTAAGTGTTCGAATTAAGCGCCCACCCACTACTCGCGCATGGAACACGCAATATGTTGGGAAAGCTGCACTTTGGCTTCCCCCAAATATCTTTCCACCTCCTGCCCCTATATGGACCACACCCGCATATGCAAGAAGTCAAGGATTTCCTTTTTTGGAAATTCCCATAATCTTCTTCAAATTGAGGCAAATGGCTTATAAAACATATGTATTTATTTGTGGTTTTCTTACAAGTGTTGTATTTAGAAACTTATGCACCCCTCCTGTATACTGGTGTTGAGTCGCATTCCCGGGTTCTAAAGTGGTGCGCTATTTGCCGAAATTTGCACTAACTTTGTATTGAATCTTAATTTCAAATCCGGATTCCCGTGACGTTTGGGGGCTAAAAGTCCTCAACTCCCACCGCCCTAGTTAAACACTCCGTACACAGCTGTATGCGATAGGCCTCGGGACAATTGAAGCCCTTCAAACTGCGGCAGTGATAGGCGCCTGGAATTGCGTACCCACACACGGCCATAGGCGAAACCTGGAGCTGATGTTCTCCTCGTTTATTGCGCAGGAGATGCAGTTCAACCTATGTGGAAACAGACTGCCGTAATCCCGAAGTAATGACTTTGAAGTCATCTCCGCTTTTAGTGCTTAGCGCCTGGGTAGCAACAATCAATATACGGCCGGGATAGTGCATGCTTACCGATCATAGCCCAACTACTCTGCGGAATGGGGCCTTCACAGGGAATATAACTGTGGTATTCGAATATCACGATAGAAGAGAGCATTATCAAACCCAGAATTGTCTCGCGCTCCGGATTGTTCAGTTCAAACGCATGCGGAGCTGGATCGGTTCTATCCGCGGCGGTGAACTCCGAGCATAGATTACCAAAACCGACCAATTATCAAATCAAGCCGTAACTGTAGTCAAAAAAAAAATCATGAATATATCGTTATATATCCAGGAGAAGGGGACGGAAGGTGTACGGAGGGTGATCTCCAATAACTAGTCTGCTTTATTACGTAGAAAGACGGGAGGACTGCGCCGCACCAGTGGGCGGGGAGGCATGCCCAAAACACGTCATGGGCCAAGATTCGTAAGATCGCCAGAAACCGTTAGCGCACAAATCCCGCGCGCCCAATGACGCCGGAAACGTGGGAGGATGGACTAGGGGCATATTTCATTCCCGCGGCAACGGAGAGCCACCACCCAGACAAGAGTCATCAAGTCTCGTCCGCAAGCCCCGAAAATTAACAAACAAATAGAGCTATTGGGACAGGCGCCCAACAAACGGAGTGGTGATTCCATTCAAAGGTCGTATACTGTAAACCCTCCAGAGAGCAAGATTGATAACTCGACCTCCCCTGAACGACTGGGCAGACAGACATGCGCAATAACATAAAACATTAAGATCGCGATTCGATCCTGATTATAAAGAAAGCCAGTCCTTGAGGCTGACTCGTGGTGAGACTAGGAAGCTAGACGATGGTGGACTTGGTACTCAATGAGTCATCTAATCGGCGGTTTCCGGGTGTAGACTCGAGATAAGCTATGTACTCTCACCAAAGGACCCTGCAAACTCCCATCCGGGATGTCCGGAGGATCTTCATTTCATCCACGTGATTCCGGACCACAAGAAGAAATACAAGGCCAAAGGCGATAAAAAATTATTAGGAGACCGAGCGGAAGCGAACGGAAGAAAGACGATGATTCCGATTTGTTGATTAAAGATATCGCCCTGGATGCCTCGCCATTACCTGTAGGCAGCCCAACGATCTGTAAGAGAGAATTCGGCCCGGAACCCACTCTTGGTGGTCATCGAGGAATCGGACGTCGACCAGAAAAGGGCATAAAGCGATTTGGTTTTTCACATGACATTTGCCCAAACGAGCCAAAAAGCGGGTGGTACGTCCGGTGTGTATATTGGTTTGCTGAGATGAAAGCTGCATAAGTAGTTCCTCATTTAGCGTCTCCCGTTTAAATGTCGGCACAAAACTGTGGCCCATTTGGCTTGTTTGGTATTACACCTGATCCTATCCCATTAACAACACTATGCGTGCGTGAACAACCCAAATCACATGACCTCCCCGATTTCAAAATTAAGGAATTCAAGGCAATCGATGTATGAATAACTTGGGACATTGGGAGTGAAGCCATTAAAATTTGAGGCCCTTCAAACCCGGAGTGCAGCATTGACCGGGCCAATTGACGAGAGAGCGAGTTGTCGAACGCACACAGGGGCTCTAGGGCTTTTGGGGGGGTTTTTTTGGGCTTTTTGGGCTTTTTGGGTTTTTAGACCTCCAATCCCCAACTGACGAACAAATGCCTTTGTACCATGTCCTATCCAAGAATGACCACAAAAGGGGAAAATTTTGAGAAATTTGAGGGCGGCGTTTTGCGGATCAGCTACATTAGAGTTTTCCAGGGTCCCGTTCCCGACGATGCTAACGAGTTAACGATTCTTCGTAAAAATAACCCCTAAGGGCCTCGGTAATTCTGTTCCTGGATTCCTCCAAGCTCACTCCGTGTTTTACTGCGGTTCTGTTATCCCGTAATGGCTGCGAGCGGACTTTCGTTTCCATGCTGACTGACCTTACTCCCCTTCTCGGCAATTTAATTCTTGGGGCTTCGCTGCATCATACAGAACGCGGAATCCTAGCTCCGCCCAGCACCACCTAGGTTCAAATATAATAATAATTCCCAATGCCTTGACCCATCTCGTTCTTTCAATACTTTCGACATGCCACATGAAGGTGCCTACTTGCAGCGAGGAAATGCATGCCTTAACTGTCGGAGGAGGAAGCAGGTGCGTATTCCAGAGGCGACGACCTTCAGAGCACCTCATGATTTTAATGTCTAGCGATGTGACGGAGGTCGTCCTGCTTGTCGAAAGTGCATCCACTACAAACGGGCCTCACAATGCGCGTACAACGACGAGAAACGTCTGACTCGAGTCCAAGTACTCGAATCTCGACTTCAGCAACTGGAAGGCTTAATCCAGATGCAGAACTCTTCTCAAGATGACGCTCCTTCCCTAGACAAACCAACACCTGCCACGTCATCTCACCCCCGGCCTGGAAATAGTCTCTCTCCATATGAGACCGACTACAGCATTCCCAAGCGGATCGCAGATCATTTGTGTGTACACATCTCTACTTTGTTCGTCCACCCAAATTCTCACCTCTTGTCTTCCTTATTTGCACAGGCTTGTCGTATTCTTCCAACACCTGTATCACTATAATTTCCCGATCTCCATTCCACGGTTTCGCAGTATTATCGATCTTCCTATGACTGATGCCCGACGCCCCCATCCCGTTCTCCTAAACGCCATATTTATTCTCGCTTGCCAGCACACACGGGAATCCGATTCATTCCAATATCGAGAAGCCTTCAGGGCCCGCGCGTATTCTCACCTCGAGGATAAAGCATCCCATCGCAGCCGACCACTCGACTTCATTCTGGGCATATCTCTCATCGCCCGAAGCTCATTGAATGTCGGAGACATCCACAGAGCTCGAGAACTCGCTGGCAGTATGTCGTGCCCAACTTCTTCCGCTTAGGCGTTGTCATATGAACCAGATATTCGTGCAGTTGCTATGAACCTTGCTATAGAGTGTAATCTACATCAGATCGGTTCCCCCTCAGCCGCCTCGTCCAATCTCTTGACTCCCCCAGCAAATGCGCTCGAATTGACTGAAAGAATTAACCTGTGGTGGTGCGTGTATTTGGTGAGTGATACCTTCTATATTAGACCTCGAACTTCACCGCTCATTGTGACAAACATAGATAGATCGTGATACCTCTTCCGAGTCCGGTATTCATTCCTCAATAACTGATGAGGTACGTCTTTCTCCTCCATCTTCTAATGAGACGGCAGCCTTACTCCGCCCCAGGAAATAATTACCCCCTTCCCTTGTGTCTTTACTTCATATATTCGCGTAGGTAACTAGAACATTCTCGGTCCGTATGAAACTAATGGCAATCCAATTCAGGACGTTGCGGGTAACACTGCTACAATCACATCACTATATGATAGTGCCCCCAATAACAGGGCAACATCCATTCATGGCGATGTTGTCCTTGCGGTCCGCGTGAAGGCCACCGCTCTATTAGACCGTAGCCGTCGATTGGCTAGCAATGTCGCCTCTCGATGTACGTTTGTCTTCTATTATGTGCCCCAGGGGAATCCCAGTATACTGAGACAATTTTCATGCGTCGGCTTCCCGTCCCACCAGCCATCGATGTCACCTCCCCCGCCTTCGCTCGAGAATTTCTGGCTGTAGATCAAGCAGTCACCCGCTTCCGCCAATCATTGCCAACCTGCATAACCCAACCATACCCCCGAGGCGCCATAATCGACACCGAAATGGAAGATATATATCTCTGCAGCCAACAAGCTCCTGGAGAATTGGGATCCTTTGCTATACGGTCTCCATGGCTCACATCTATTC